CAAGATCATTAGTTATGCATATATTCACATATACACACACACACGGGTATGTATATGTGTATATAAATCTATATATTTTCTGCCTTGTCCATGAAGAGGTGGTGGGGGGGGGGTGTAGATCCATGATGTCAGTTATGACGACTGCAATGAGCAAACTGCCAGAAATCCCGAAGCAGACAGTACTCAGGTCAAAACTTTCAGTCAGAGCTGACCAATCAAAGTCCTTCTGACCTGCAGCCTTTGTACTACCCACTGACAGGAGTTCATAGGTCCAATGTCTCCGTGTTAGCCAGCAGAGCTCAGCACTGCAGTAGCCCTGTTTAATGCAGTCTGAGAAATGATACACTGTACACTTAACATGCACGGCCAGGTAGCATAAAAAAGTAAAAAAAAAATAAATAAAAAAAATAAAAAAAAAAAGAATAAGAAGAAAACACAAAACAAAACAAAAAACCACCCCAAACCCAAAAAGCCAGCAAAATGCATCCAGACATCTTCAATCACACACTTTCCAGTATACATTAGATATTAACTGACAAGCACCACAAAACAGTGGAAAGACCAAAAGAAAAAGAAAAAACAAAACAAAAAAAAACATCAGTTAATGGTGACAGTAAAAACATCCTGTGGGTTAGCTTCAACCTCAATTATTTCACTGATTTCTGAATGGTGTGACTGATTCATGACTCAGCTCAATGGATTCAAACAGGTCCAAACACACACGCATACACATTCACCATCCATCCACAAAACCTTTAATCTGTAGCTACTTTAATCTCAGTAAGCCTTCATATCCAATGACCCTCCTCTGCAGCAGGCTTCGATTTCAAACTCTCACAATAGTCAGGTTTTCATCGACTGAGGTCAAACACTGACATTTACAGAGTTCAGATCAGATGTTTCGTTTGATTTGTTCTTTTTGTGGTTTGTTGTTGATTTTTCCTTTCCTCCTTTTTTTTTTTTTTGCCAAAACACAAAAAGACTTGTGTATTCTGGAAAGAAGTGTATTTTCAAGGTCATATATAAAAGGTGCAAATTTGGGATGTGCAAAATCACTGAAACATGTAGTTTCAGGATAAAAGTAACGTAGCATACCTTCAAGTTACTTCAACATTCATTTATTTGAAACAAACAAAAAACAACACTTTTTACATTTCCACCTGTCCGAAGAAAAATGACCTCTGGTGAGTTCTGTGTAAAAGTTCATGCAAGTTTTGATTGAACATCCAGCTCAATGCAAACCTGACTATTGTCGCTGTTTCTAAACTTCAGTGTTCGTGATTTCAAATTAAAACCCATGTAAAACAACCATTCACTCATTTGTTCTGCTCTCTCTCTCTCTGTCACACACACACACACACACACACACACTTTAACACTAGAACAGGAAACTAACTTTGCAATTGATCAGTAACAAAGGAAATTGTTTTTTTGTTTGTTTTGTTTTTTTAAACCACACGCGCACACACACACACACACACACACACACACACACACACACAAAAATCCATCTGTTGATTCTATTGGACAAGTCGACAAACATTTAGAAAACTGTCTCCAATAGATGGACGCTTGCTTGTCGACGCAGCTGGCAGTCAAAATTCACCAAAAATTCGGCTGTTGGCTGGCGTCAGTTTCCCACCCTGTTCAACATGCTCCCAAACACAAATACAAACTCAAGATACTGCAAATACATGTGTACACATATATACAAATAGAAGCGCCCCCCACCCGCCGACGCTGGGGGGAGGAGGCAGCTTAACAATTTATAATGCATCATTTCTGTATATGCCAAGAATAAAACTTTTCTAAATAAAATACATAGTTATCTGTGAGGGTGGGGAATGAGGACAGCAGATGAACAGAGAGGAGGAGCTCGTGGGGAGTGTCAGAGGAGAGCAGGAGCGCCGAGGAGAAGCCATTATGGAGCGATGGTGGAACAGATGGGAGAAAGCTAAGGTGAACGAGGGCAGACGGATGGAAGGGGAAGACTCTTCTCCTTTACGGTGTCGCTGCTCGTGGGCATTCTCCTGGGCCGCTGCAATACTCCACCTCAACTCCATTTTTTTTTTTCAGTTGTTCCATAATAATAATAATAATAACAACAATATTAATAATAATGACCACGACAATGCTAAAAAAATATATATAAACCCCTGCTATGTCTCACAACTGCAAGTCCACAAAAAGGGGGGAGGGGAGGCCTTGCCCTCGAGTTCATCTGAGTCATAGACAAAGAGATGCAGAGGAAATTAAAGACGTAGAAAAAGGAGGAAACTGCAGACAGAGAAGAGGCCTGACGAATGAGACGAGGCCATGTGAGGGAAGTGGCAAATGAGACCAACTATACACGTGTGAAAAAGGGGGGGGGGCAGAACGAAAACAGCATGGGCAGGATGTGCTGTAGTGAAGAGGAAATAAACAGCAGAGAGGAAGCAGAGATGAAACAGGGAGGATTAGGGACCAAAGATGAGTTGTGTCGGGGCGTTGTGATCCACACACTGGTGTCCCTTCGGAGGGTTTTCTCAGAAGATTGGTGGAAAGCATGAACGAGTGATGACAACATGGCCTCACTGTGAGTGTGCCCTCTCTCCTTCCCTCGAATTAAGGGAGAAAAAAAAACACAACAACAACAAAAAAAAAAAAAAAAAAAAAAAAAAAAAAGAACTTCTCCGTGCTGGTCGCTTGTCCCAAGTTGTATCATACCTCTAGGAAGCGAGAGCTGCTAGACTTAGTGTGGAAAGGCTCAGACCACATGCGCCGCAAATCCCCCTGTGGGCCACAAACACCAAGACAAACACAAGTTACGAGTCTTTAAGCGAATCACTCAAATGTCAGTAGATTGCAGACAGCAGTCAACCGAATTCTGTTTTCTCACCCCTCCCAATTCAACTGCGTAAGCTACGGTGGCCCCTGTAGGACAAACAACTCTCGCTGCTGTTCATCCCTCTGTTTACCTCAGGTGTCAATATGCCAGGTGTCCACCTCTATGTAGGAGGAGGCTGTAAAACTTTGTGAAAGTAGTCTGATACGAGGCAACGACTCAGTGAAGCTCACTTCTGTCTCATGAAAGTGATACTGAGGTGAGTTATCGAGCGTATCCTGAACCCTTCTGTCAGTAAGCGCTGCCGTTTTTGCAGGGTTAGGTCAACATACCTAAAAGACTATCGGCAGGATGGCGATGTCCATCTCAAACACTGTATTATTCAAGATGGCAGGCCAACATGGTGGCTTCCACAAAGTGGCGCCTGCTTCTATGCTGTTGTTGTTTTTTTTTGTTTGTTTTTTAAATGGACTAATTTTAAGTTTAAGAGTATGCATTAGTTTGTTGGAAGGCACACACACACACACACACACGCACGCACGCGCACACACACACACACACGTACACACACACATGAGTATGACGAGTTTTTTCTGTTAATAAACCCTGACTGAACCTTTAAATACACAAGTATGCGTTTCTTGTTGAAGTCAGATGAATGTGTGTTGAAAAAGCATGCTGACATTTTATCACCGTCTTCTGATTTTCCCTAGTTTAAAGTCCCAGTAACCAGTTTATTAAACACTTATGCACAACATGGGCAAGCCTTTAGCACTTTCGAAGAAAATGTTACCATTTATAGAAATTGAGTGCAGTTTATAGTTTCACTTAACAATTAGACTCACACTTCTCTAAAAGCAGCACAAAGCAAAGAGCTTATTTTTCCCCCCCACACGTAGTCTTTCTTTCTTTCTTTTGTTATTTCTAAATCAGAACTGCAACAGCTAGATTTTTGCCATAGTCCATGGCTGTTATTATACCTTCAGGTAGGCCATGGTGAGCAGAGGCAGCAGGGTGAAGGGCACCAGGTAGAGCAGAGCGGGCTGTGCAGCACGATGGATCCTGGAGGCCACGGTGGCAGTCAGCAGTCCTGAGGAAACATCAACAACATGTCAGAAATGTCACAAATACTTAAGACAAAACATTTTGAAAGGTCACAGCTTAAAAAAAAACAAAACAAAAATTCACCACTGCCTAACACTGAGACAATATAACCTTGACCTTATCCATCCCTTCATTGATTGCTTACCTACAAAGTATCCGATGAGAGTGCAGTGGAAATAGGAGACGCGCTGCATGCGTCCAGACATGTTACCGGGCCCTGGGACTTCCCCGCTCGCTTGCTTCTTGTAGTTATCATAACGCAGGACAAAGCATAACAGCAGCCCTGGCATCACGATGTCTCCTATTCCCAGCATCGAGAAGTGACTTCCTGTGGAACTGCACAGGAGCAAAGAGCAAAAAAGAAGAAATGATGGCAAATCAATTCCTGTGTCTTTTAATTCCATTTCATCACTACTTGGCTAAAGCCAACACAAGGTCCTGAGCAAATATCAGACTGAAATCGGCCAAAAGTCAGTCACCATGGTAGCCGCACTGTGGTTACTACGACCACTGAAACAGAAAAGGAACTGACAGCTTTAGGTGTCAGCTTCAGCTATATTATGTTAACTGCAGCTCTGTTAGTGCTACTAACACACTCATTTTTAAAGGGGCCCTAGAACTGCTTGTTTCCAAGTTTCCATTTGCAAGGACTGTTTACCATTGCAAGACGGGGCAAAAAATTTCACATCATATCCTGAAAAATATGCAATTCTGAAAATAAATAAATAAATAAATAAATAAATAAATAAATAAATAAATAAATAGGAAAAGGGAAAACATCAAACTAATATTGATCCAGGGACTCGATTCATGCATTTTAATCCTTTAATGGAGGTATAGAGAATCAGCAAGGTCATGTTTGCAACTCATTCTATGGCAGGAAATAAAACATTAACAGCTGTTTTCTCACTTAATCAATATAACTCCAAAGCAGAGTATGAGGAAAACATAACACATCAAACCTTTCTGAAGCACAAGCACGTGTTTTGTCTGACGGTGTCTAAGTTCATGTTTAGGTTGTCATCCAACACAAAGAATACATACTCATTGTGACAAAGGGACAAAAACAAACAAACCCCACAAACTGGTATACTAATTCACTGACAGTTTCAGCTATTAGGATGTACCCTTTAGCATTAATCTTGAGGCAGATCTTAAGAGGTAGTTAAAATGTTTGTCATTTGTTTCCTGAAGGTGTTGTAAATTTGTCGGTGACACCAACAGCCGCGAGATAACAATACTTTAGGATTCACCTCGTGGGACCTGAAAGATGTCTTTTCAAGGGTCGGTAACATTTAGCAAACTTAAATGTCAAAAAGCTGAGCGGTGTGATGAAGTGAGCATCAGTGACTGAATAAAGGTCACACATCATGCACACGCAGAGGCTGATCACAAGCAAACGACTCGGTGATCCCAAATGAATGTGTACCAAGCACACACTGCACTGCTTTATGATTGAGAGCAGCATTACCTGGGAAAGACGAGTTTGCCGGGCAAGGAGAGGCGGGGTACGTCACGGCCCATCCCCGGCCCCAAATGGAGCTTCCTGGACAGAACATCTATGGGATTTTCAGCAGGCTGAGTGGCTACTTTGACCATCACATTACTATTGAAGATGTATGCTGAGAAAAACACCTGGAAAGAAAGAGAGCCGGCTGTTAATACTTATCAGGCTTCACCACAGCCCAAAGTGACTATTGCAACTTTTCTCATAAAACTCAAAACACAATGTTTATGGCATGAAAAGCAAGAAAATCCCACTTAAAAGAAGATGGCTGCAGCCAGTTTGATATTAAGTAACACGGAAATTCCACAGCAGGGACGGCTTATAAATTTGTCAATGCCCAAGTTTTGATAAGAGGCACCATCAGTATTTATGCACTTTTAATTCACTCTGACAGAGCAACTCATAACAGCTCTTTAATAAAGACAAAGCTACCGGTCTCAGGAGATTATGTCTGACTACTGTGTGTTTGCATTATGTGCTCTTCAGTCATAGCTGACAGGGCAGACTCTTCAAGAGCGTGTGCTCACTTTGATGTATTTAATGGAAATTCTACTGAATGCCATAAATGAAATGTATATGGCACTCAGCTTTCCTTACCCTTTTACCCATGTGAATTTTACATTTCTATAAATCTGAAGGAAAGCGGCATGTTTGTTTGCAAAGCTGCTGCTGTACTGCTTTCCGATTCTGGTGCTTTATGGCATTTGTCAAATTCAAAGGCAACTGACTTGGCTTTAAATTAGGGTAACACTCAATACTGGTGTAAAAATGTCTGTACTTAGCGCAAAATACAATTGACCATTTTTAAGCACTTTTCAAAATGCTGGTTGTTCTGGGAAAAGCAAACGGCTTCATCAGTGGACAGCAGACATGCACATTTAACCCATTCCTTAGTGCTTTACAAAATAAAATCAACAAAAATTTTATTTTGTGTAAAAAAAAAAAAAAATCATAGGGCTGTCATCAAGTTAATTTTGAATTCTTCCTGAACATGAACTGGGGGCTGGAGCCTATCCCAGCTACTACAGGGCGAGAGGCGGGGTACAGGTCACCAGCTCTTTGCAGGGCTAACACATAGAGACAGACAACCAGTCACACTTACATGGGCAATTTAGATTCACCAGTTTGCCTAAATAGCCTCACCTTTAGACTATGGGAGGAAGCCGGAGTATCTGGAGAGAACCCATGCAAACAGGGGGAGAACATGCAAACTCCACACAGAGAGGCTTCGAACAGGTGGTTGAATTGAACTCATGACCTTCTTGCTGTGAAGCAACAGTGCTAATCACCGTGCCACTGTGCTGCCACAATCTCAGATATTGACCGATATTTTTCTTCCAGGTAGACGAAACAAACAGATTTCATAACATGGATGAAGGTTGTTTTTTCTGTCCCTTCCTTTTCATTTAAAGCCATATACTGACAGATTGAAACATTTTTAATAGTGGTCCTCCAATAAACTGGCCAGGTTCTCTTCTTATATATACACCGAATGTCACCCAAGTATACAACTACGTCCATAAGTATTTCGATCATAAGACACTTGTTTGTAAGTTCTGTCTTTGCATACCAGAGGTGTAGTTTAATAAGTTTTAATTCAAGAGATTTTAATAAGTGCTGCATCGTCTGTTTAGAAATCACTGCCAGTTTCATACACATATATATATTTTTATGTATATATGTCTTGACTCTTTTTCTCATTGCTGAAGCCACAACTGCAGATGTCTTTGATAGACAACTGTCTAATATAAAATATGGATGCAGCTACCGGGTCAGAAAAATGAAGCCAGTGCAGACGTGGGAAGTGTCTTAATCCTGGAATCTATCTGAAGGCGACTAGATAGTGATGGCTATAATTTCAAAAAGACTTCTGGTCCTATAGAGGTCTAAGGGAAAAAACTGCTTTCTGACTTTATGCCTGTATACACCTTCCTTGAGCTGAAGGGCTCAGTCAATCATTTCGGGTAATTTTGAACACGAAAATAAATAATTAAGAAAATTAAGCCTGTTATGTAAATCTTCGTCGTGGCTTGTTTCAACATAGAGGAATTTCTGTGGTATGAATCACAAGTCAATAGAAAATGAGCATGTGGCTTCACAGTCAGACTTGTCCTTGTCACTTTTGTGGGGGGTTTTTACAATTAAGGAAGCGAGAGAGCAGAAATGCTCAACCTGAGGCTTCACAATCAGGACTTCAGAAATGAATGGGTGGCGTTATGACGGCACACTTTTAAAACAGTCTCTGCCATTATTAAAGTTGTTGTTCTGCTCTGGAGATCTGCTGTGAGCTGGAGGACAACATGAACCCACAGCAGGTAAAGGGCTGCTGCTGTGATGCTGTAGCTCATCTAGGTTGCTGAGCAGAACGAGTGGTCTAAGACAGTGGCGCTGAAGACCATCCACGAGATGAACTTACTGCAGAGACAGCTAAACATCGCTCTATTATTTATAGACAAAACGTAAACCTTTTGTGCATGTAAACACAGATACACAACTATTTTTTTGTGTCTTAAAATATATATTTTTCCTCTGTTTTGAGCAGCTCTAAGCAGTACTCAACACACTACCTACAAAATGGAAGAACTGTTTAACTGACCAGACATGGGGCTGTTGAAAGATGTGTAGCATTGTAAAATTAGAGGATATTAAACAAAGAAGAGAGACATACCAAAAGTCTGCCATAAAATGCTAGCAAGACTTAGATGCTTAAATGTCTTAGTGAATTAGTGATCTAGTGTTTCCTGGACTAGCACCCTCTGTAGCAAGATCACCTTCATGATTCATTTAACATGTTAATTCGATCAGTTTTGCTTTCTGCCAAATGAATTTTTAATTTTTCATGATTTATTTAATTTCTGCACAGCAGTCAATGCGATCAAGTTCTCCCCCAAACTCAATACTGTTCAATGTAAAGTGCCTCACTTTATCAGCAATGAGACACCGGCCTGCAGGTTTGAGGAATAAATACAAAGCCTTTCATAATCGTGAATCATCATGTTTGTTTGTTTTTTGTTTATAAACAGAAATTTTCTCTTTGAATGTGTGCTTCATATATCGCAGTCTGTTTGCTGCGTCTCATGGAAGCTGCTTGTATGTGTTGCAGGTTTAATTTGGGTTGGGAGCATCTCTTACCCAGAAAACATCATAAATGAGCAGTCCTGACAGCAGCAGGCAAGACACCTTCAGACTGGGAAGTCGCACAAACGCTATCATGGCGACGCACAAGCCCATGGCTAAAGCTGAAAGGAGAGGACAACATATAATTTCACATTTTCAAAAGAAATGAATGAAAACATCAACACGATAAAGCTGTTCAAATTATTTTCCTACTTGAAATTGATTTTCTCAGGGCTGCATAACTGAAGATGAATACCAACATATACCTTTATATTGAGCTGGGAGTCTGTCATTACCTTTTTCAAAGTCCAGCGAACTGGAATGCCAGTTCATGGGTTAGTCATGTGGGTAAAATATAGAACCAATGACTAATATTTAGCATGTACTTTTCCACCATTAGGAGAAGTACTTCTTTTAAAACTATGAATCATTACAAGCTGAAGATGTTAAAATGCTTACTTTTAGCATGCTGTGTAGCAGGGCATGTTAAAACAACACCAAATCACACATTGCAGTTACATTTCTGAAACCTGACTACTTTGTGTTTAAATTTCATTGCTGCGGCTCTTATCTGTGGATTCTCATTCTGTTTGTAGTATGAACTGAAGCAACATTCATACAAAAGTTAAGGCAGAGCAACGTACCGTCCATGAGAAGCCAATGTCCAGTCAGCACCCAGATGAGCACCAGCATAACAGAGAGTGAGAAAGACAGGAGCTCAGCCAGAGTGAAGCGCCCACAGCAACCAAACGAAATCCTGCAATGAGACAAAAAGACACAGAAGTGACCCACTTAAATCTCACAGAGCACTTTGGGGTAAAATGCAGTGCACAAAAACTTTTACAGGTGGATATATTTCTTAACTGAGGATCTGCTGCATATCGACTACTGTACAAAGAACTTATGTTTGAGACAACTGATGTTTGGATGAGTGAGAGTGGAAGGTAAGCCTTTAAACTGCTTTACAGATCAAGTTAACAGTAGTTATTTTGGTAAATAGCATGCAGGTGTCCATCTTTCAGCTAGGAGTTTTCCCTGGGGTGTGGCGCTGGCAGAGAAACCATTACATTGTGTGGGTTGTAGGGTGGAGCCTCAGTGGTTCAGGCTTGCTCTGGGGCATTCAGCTGATGCTTTGATGGGAGGGTGATGTCAGGAATTTTTGTCAAATGGCATGTGGAAAGCCGTTGCCATCATGACCATACTTTATTAAGTCTAAAGGGATTCTGGGTAGGTATGGAATTGTTTTGGGTGAGAGAAGCAGACAAAGATTTACTGAAAACTAGATATGGGGATTTGAATGTTTAAACAAAGTCGTTTTTATTTAAAGCAGTTTTTTCCGTGTCAGTTTATTGAGCAGATGAGCTCTCCTGGTGACTCTGTGTGAACTCCCCGGTGGAATAGAAGAGTTGATTATTCTAGATGTCTTAATCTAGAGACTATGCTGAACTTTTAAATGGAAATTATATGGAGCAAGGCAATGCAAGAGAATTTATTGAATTTTTACTACCTCCAAACATTCAAAATAAATTTCCCAGTGGTATTGAGCTTTGCATCTAGTTTCCGTTCTACTCTGTGAAATTAATGCAAAGCATTTCCATCACACCAGGAACAGCTGAGAGGACAAGGACATTTGATAAGCAGTAGTAAAAGACCTTTTTGAATACTTTGTGGAAGAAACGCAAAACACCACGGAGCAATTGAGCAGGAGCCAGAAAGACTATGAAACATGATTTTCTTACTTGTTCTGTGGGGAGCAGGGTCTGGTCAGATACTGGCACATTGGCAACAAAAGGAATGCAAATGCAATTGTTGCAAGAACTGAGGAGAGGAACAAAACACAGCAGTTAAATCCAAAGCCCAGTTCACCTCCGCTGCTTGTTCCAGTGGTTCCTGTCAGTTTAATGGGGCAGCTAATGTCTTCAGTTATAATAATCAATGCAGTAAAGATGTTTCCCCAGTGCGTAATTACACAACACTAACATAAAAGCTTTATAATAACTCCACAGCTTATTTTTTGTGGTATGTTCAAGACTGGTAGTTACCTGCAGTGCAGATGGTGAAGACCACCTGTACAGAGTCGAAGAAGAAGAACATGACTAGCAGAGACACTGAGGCTCCTATGGGCAGAAACAGGGCCTGTGTGGAGTCTATAGTCTGAATGCCTGAAAAGGAATTCAAACATTAATGTAAGATGGATTAAAATGCACAAAACAGGAATGGATATTATATATGACTTTAAAAACAACGGTACGAGCAGAGAATTTAATCATTCATAAGTTATTACCTGAAAATCCAAGAAAACGTTTAGCATGCACAGTTCAACTTTGCCCTGTATGTAATACTTACTGTTGTTTGTATTGTTGTTATTGAATGACCCCGTTGTTGAAGGGTTTCCATCCTTATCCTTGTCCTGGTTCTCACAATCCATGTTTAATGACCTGCACAAGGAAGGGAAAGAAAACCTATGTGTGATTCTGGCTTCCACAATTAGCTCCTCAAAGCATGTACACTAGTATGAGGTGAAGGGAGGTGAAAACGCAATCTCTGCAAATCAGATCTCATTGTGGATGCTCTAGCAGCTCAATTTCAGGGTCTTTTTCATGATAAGCACCTTGCAAAAGACCCTCACATTTAGCATGCAAGCTTTTAATTTTATTTCTTCATTTACTAGGCATAGGTTTTGTTTTTTGTTTTTTAAATATTTGGTTTCTACATAAGCTGTGTATCTATTAAAGCAAAAAGACAAGAGACCTGTACTGCCAAAAATGCATATTTTAATATTTCTTTGTCACATGTCAAACAGATAATCAATACTGAGTTTCTTCATATTGTGCAGGCCAAGTTTGCATACACAGGTCCAGTCTGATGACTTGCTAATAAAGAGTGTGGGCAGAAGAGTGTAAAGCTTGTGCCTGAAAAAGCACATCTTTTCTTTGAGTCAGAATGCCTGACTCACAAATCCCGTGACTGGAAACCTTGAGTTCAAAAAAATGTAATCCTTAAACATTAGCAAATTTAAACTTGATGCATGTTTTGAATTAATTATGCTTATCTACAGTAGCTTTTTTAAGTCATACTGTGATACCAATTTTCCATTCTGGTACTATAAGCCATACTACCAGAAGAGGGTGCAAACTGAAAATGTGGAGAAGCAGTGGAAATTACGTATGGATGCATGTTTATCTAAACAATTATAAGCAGACTTTATACCATTTATTGTTACACAGATAGAAAAATGCTCACTGGATATCTTTGAAAACTCGTTGCCTTCTCTAACCATCTTTTTTGCATTCTTTAACATTTATGGCACTTTTCATGTTAATAAAGTACAAGATTACTGTCACACTAGAGAGGCTGGGATCCTACAGTTCAAACCAGATTTGATTCAAAGACAAAACGAAAGTTTTAAAGACCAACAACACAGTAACCAAAAATAAAAAATCCTGATATCAGTTACTTAAAGGTGCCACTTGTGTTTGTGGTTGGGCTGAGGTTCTTTAGATAGTCTCGTCAACAGCTGCAACAAGCTGATCTGAGATGCATGAGTAAGTCAAACTTGCTAATGTAAACCATCTTTTCAAACACACATGAAAATGTGGGAAATTCCAAAGTTTGGGAACATCAGTTACCACCAAGTCGCATTTCAAACACTTCCTACACAAAAACGTATCTTGCCTCGGAGATCCTGCAAAAATAGTTTGAGGCCACTTATCACTTACAGTGGGATGCAAAAGTTTGGGCAACCTTAATAGTCATTATTTTCCTGTATAAATCATTGGTTGCTTCTGTAAATCCAATAAACTTTGTTTCACTTCTCAAATATCACTGTGTGTGTCTCCTATATCATATATTTAACTGACATTTTTTATCGTAAAAAATTGTATCACTTTTTGTTTCTAATTAAGATTTCACCTTAGCCAAGTTGGAATTTTTTTACATTTTGATTTATTTTTGTCATCGCTGCCAGAGATTTATACTGTGCAAAATCAAATGGCATGCCTCCCAACAGCAGCCGCCTCAGACTAGAATGGGCAGAGTGCAATAAGTTAATAATAATTAACCAACTAAATTTTGTCTGATGCTTTGCAAGCTGCTGTGCTTGCTGGAGTGATGGCCGAGTGGCAGTTTTATGGTATAATCACAGCTATATGAATGTTTAGTGTTTCAACCTTTTTTCAGTACCACAAAGTGTATAAAACATTTTAAGGTCATAAAAAGAGACAGAGACGCCCATAAGAGGCGTTCTCTGTTGTTTTTGGTTAGCTGTGATGCCCTATTTTAAGGAAAAAGTCCTTAAAAGTTAAAAGTCAGGCTAGCATTTCCATAGCAGAGCTGTGAACTAAGACTTTAAAACAAACTTATGTGGCACAAACTATCCTGTTATCAGGAAGAACACTCGATTGCCTCAAGTAACATGTTTCTGTGCCTTAGCTGTTTTCCTGATACTTTGTGTAAAGAAGCTGCCTGAGACACAACCACAGTGAAAGTTCAGCACAATTTTTTTTTCTTTTTTAAAATTGAACAAAGTCAGACAGTAGACGAGTGCTGTATGTTTTTGACATATTCCTGGTCTCTTTGTGTAATGCAATGATGGACTCCATGTCGGATGTTAATGATGTCAGGTTACCTAGCTAGTAAATATTACCCAGCATGTGTGTACGGTAGCTTTGCAAATGTGCAGTTATTAGAGTTAAACTGTTTATTGTTCACAGATTATAGTGTGATTTATTGATTTCTATCATATAATTAGAAGTGTGAATAAGGCACCAGGCACACAGGAGCTAGAGTAGGATGTCTCGAGACCACTTTTACGTGGTCTTGGTCTTGTCTTGGTCTCGGATCCCTCGGTCTTGTCTTGGTCTCGCCCTCTCTGTCTTGCTGTCTCAGATCAACATAGTGGTTGGGAGATTTGGAGTCAACAGTATCCATGACACACAACGCAACGTTCGATAATCTGTCATGCGCAAAAGCATCAGCTCTAAGAGCCGTGCATAGAGAGTGCTTTGTAGTGAATCAGAGTCGACTCCCATTGAGCGAGAGCCGGCTCCTCAATTTCCTTTCACTGCTCAGCTCTCACACAGTGGCTCAGCTATGGTCCAATCCCTCCATATTGTGGCCAATCACATGCGAAGATATAGGATAATATCATTATGTGGAAAACAGAGGGTGAGAGACACGACAGTCAAGTGGAGCTTGTGTCTGTCCTCTCAGTAAGTGAGTGAGACAGTAGACAGCGGTGAGGAGGGGTGTGCAAGTGCATCGCAAAAACACATAAATATGCCTGACACCCATAGACGAAGCAGCATCTGGCTGCAGTTTAAAGACTTTTTTGTCTCGGTCTCGTTTCGACTTTGTCTTGGTCTTGATACCCTCTGGTCTTGGTTACAAGTCTAACAGGAGCCCATTCCCCCACCCCCAGGCAACCACGGCTCTCTAGGGAAACATTAACATTCCCTGTGTGGTTGTGAGTAGTTGCTGGAGGTTGCTTGTTGTCACTAGGTAAATTTGGTCACAAAGGGTTATACAGTGCTAACTGAAAACCTTTGATTGCTTTGGTCACATAAAGACTGCCGCAGTCAACAGTAAAGCCCCTCAGGTACCCAGTATGGAGACAAATTTAGACTACGTGAAAATTCATAGGGACTGTTTTGTGGGCTGACTGGTAAAACACTGTGAAAGTGTTATCATCATTTTGATCATTAATTAAATTATGTCCAGTTTTAATGATAGATTACACCTGTTATTACTGGGATGGGAGAAGATAATATATCCATACAGATTAATCACAAAATATAAATTAGAGAGATGTCGTAATTTTGCTGTTTGCTAATCCAAACAATTAAACTAGAACTTGAGCATTTTTACTGACTTGAACACAAACAAAAATTTTTATTAAAACAAACAAACAAACAAACAAACAAACAAAAACAAAAAAAACACCTACATTTTACTGCTCATCTACTGTAATAGAAACACTAAAAACCCCTTTTGCTATTAACACTCACCTGAAGCTGCCATAGACAATGAGCAGAATGGAAATGAGGAAGGTGGACACCTGACTGGAGTCAACTAGGGAGTACGCCCTATAGAAGAAAGAGAGACATACAAACATTACTTACGGCACAAATGACTACGCATGGACATTTAACAACAACAACAAAAGCACAACTGTCTCATTATTAACACAAGATTACTGCTATGTACTGTTGAAGAGCAGAAACACATGAATCTGATAATTAACTGTGCTGCTGTCGATATTTATTTTACCACAGCTTAAGTTTTCAAATTCCTAACACTCAGATGCTGTTGTCAAGCGATTATACTTGATGCTTGTGTGTGTTTATGTTCTGTACTCTCCGGTCACAGCTGTCAGGGCAAAACTCTGGGCTCCATTCACTACATTCAATAGTGAACAGCATATAAAAAAGTATTAAATAGACCAATGCCAGCAACCTCAATGACATCTCACAAACAGAACTGCTAAGAATATGAGGAATATGCGATGAGTTTCACTGCTATAGCAAAGTGGCTGCTGTTCTGGAGAGCAGTCTCACAACTGTGATGCTGATGGGATTTGTTTAACTAAAAATACAGCGGTGTGGCCTCTAACACTTGGCATTATTAGACTTGATATTTCATCAGTTTAAATGTTTTTTTAATAAGTGCTAAGACATGCAGCAGCCAGGAAAAGGAGACTGAAAACAAGTGTCACATGCTTCAAAGTATGAGCGAAAAGAAAAGAAAACACCAAAGTCTCTCTTTTTTTAACCACAAGGGTTAACAACAAAAGTCAGGATGATGCAGCAGGAGACAACAATGTGGAGGAGTTAACTTGAGTGAAAAACTTAAAAAAAAAAAAAAAAAAAAAAAAGAGTTTAGGTACTGCTTTTGCTGTAAAAACAAATCAAACCTTTGTGGTGAAATGCTTCTGCTAGAATCCATATAAATAATAAAGATGTGGTTCGATGACCATTTTTTCCAAGGGTAGCCGCATAAGCAGAGACCACCTTCACTAACAGCCCTGAAACATTACTGAAACTGCTCCTCTAAGGCTTTCAAGGGGTAAAGAGTTAACATTTTTTATTTTGTTGTGTAAAACAGAGTGTCAGTGGGCACTTAAAAGTTCAGAAAATGTTTGAATGTCTTTAACTATTAAATTTATTCATTGCGCCAAATCCAGCTGCTCATTAGGCCTTTCTGGTTTGATCAGAAAAGAAAACAGTGGTCCATACACCTGAAAGTCCTGAAAACACATTGTGAATTCTGTCTTGAGTCTACGGATGTATCCATGTATTTCCACAGTGCTGTTGCTGCGCCGAGCACATTTGAAGTGTCGGAATGTGGAAATTTCAACATCGCTTGAAAAGGTGCCAGCTAGCAACGTCCCTCTCACCGGTAGGCTAAGTTATCTTTAGCCAACTACAAGTTGAATCTGGTAGTTGGAGTTGTCAGCTAAAATACCATCATTAAGAAGCGGCACAACTAATGTGTGCGATGTGCACCGCTGGCCCAGCCATTTATTTTTTAATGCACCTTCTCAGATTAATTCACTGCGTGTCGTGCCCAGGGCTGGACTGGGACAACAAAAAAAAAAAAAAAAAAAAAAAAAAAAAAATCGGCCCGGGCATTTTGACTAAAGACTGGCCCACCAGGTATTATAGGAAAAGCCATAAAGCCTTTAAATGAAAACGAACGCTGTTGTGACAGTGATGTACAGTCCTGTGATCTCTATACATTTTACATGAGATGAAAACTTTGGTTGTAAGATTCAGATAATTATTTACTTAAAGCCAGACATTTTAAATGAGAATAAGAAAGAAGAAAGAAAAGCATTTCTTTGTGCCCCCCTTTCCCTGTCAATGCCCCAGCTGGCCCCCTGGCAAAACTTTGCTAGACCCGCCCCTGCACAGTTACCAGCTGTCAGCTACTTAGAAAAGGATCCTGGTGTTATTTGTCTCTCAGAAACAGTTCACAACTTCCCTTCAACTCATTCATGTCACCTAAAAGGCAAACCTGTTTCTCCATCACTTGTTCAGCTCTGATGATTCAGTAACATCAGGACATCTCCTGGTTTCATCTTCATGTTTCCCTCTCACCAGATAAGCAAACCGATATCATGACCAGCAGCCTTTACAGCTGTGGCTCCAGCAAACATCAGCTGATACTAGAAATGAATATTACCGTAATTGTCGGGCTATAAGCCGCTACTTTTTGCACAAGCTTTGAACCCTGCGGCTTTTAGTCAGGTGCAGCTTTTCTATGGATTGTCCATGATTTTTGTCATATCGTAAGAGGATTTGTTTTGTTTGTTCCGCTTTTGTACGCGCTACGTTGCCTGGCGGAAGGATCGGGGTTCAAGAGTGGTATGTTGGTCACATGTCCATCCGCCAGGCAACATAGTGCCGTACAAAGTAGCGCTACGCGTTCAGCTGGAGGCGTAAATAATGATAGGCGATAAACTTGCGAAAAGCAAGTTATGCTCAACTCCACCAGTGGATTCTGACAGCGTGGAAAAGTGTGAAAACATCCACGATCACCAACGGATTTCGAAGGGCTGGACTGCTGCATGATGGAGAGGAGGACACCGCCACGGCCCTTCCGAGGGTGTTCGACTCTGACACTGACAACGAGGATTTCTTTGGTTTTGAAAGTGACAACGAAGGAGAGAAGCTGAGAGTGGATGACGAAGCCATCATGAGCCTGTTCGTATCCGACACTGGAGAAGAGGACTTTGGTGGTTTTAGTGCGCAGGAAGAAGAGAAAGATGGTGGTGAATGACTGACTTTTCTACTTGTTAAAGCCGTGTCACTGCACCTGAGCCTAAAAGGTAGTCCGAATCTATTTTTCTGGTGTGCTATAGGTTACTGTTATGTACTAGCGAATGAGAGAAGAAGATGCAGCTGATAGCGTAAAGACAGAAAAACTCAAGCTTTGTGTCTTTTTCCATTCTAGCTGAAGTCCGGGACAAACTGTTCCTTTTCAGCTCAATACGAAACGCGTAATAATTTCTCTGAATACGGGACGATCCTGTTTTTTTACAGGACAGTTGGCAACTCTGCTAACAAACCTTATGAATAAAATAAAGTTCACTATCAGTAACATCATAGCACCCAGCCAGCTGTATAGAAACTTCATCATGCTAGCTAGTACACAGTACGAGTTATTGTAACTGACTGTAAAAAGTCAGCACAATGAAAATAAACTACACCTAAACTTGGTTTATACCCGACCCAGATAGACTGCAGGGTCATAACTTTCTACCTAAAGTTCAGTTCACCTGACACTCGGACCGGCGGCTGCCTCAGGTCTCGCCCTCCTCCTGCCTCCTCTTTCCCTCATCCACCCACTGGCCTCTGTGAGCTCCGCCATAGCCACCACCAAACAACGAACTTATTTTTACACATCGGCCATCATCTGGCCAATCCACCACCTTACATTATTTATATCGTTACAAAAACAAACAAACAAACAAAAAAAAGAACCATCGGCCCGTAAAAATGAAAAATCACAATCGGCCCATCGCACAAATGCCCGGTATGCCCTATGGCCAATCCAGCTATGGTCGTGCCATCAGTTAACCCTTCGCGTGCCACACGGTTGCCAACCCCTGCTCTAAATGCACCACTCACTCTTATGTCAATCAACGCTATCCCGTACTTTCATTAGTGCCAGCTTTGCTTGTCTTGAAGTTTAGAAAAGTTTAACTTGGGATTTGCCCACTCTTCAGTTTTTTTAATATACTTTTGCTTGTTGCACAAGTTGAATTCTCACTTGATGTGATCTGACAACTCGTACCAAAAGAGAAATTGTTTAAAAGTGATTTTAGCTTTTGTGAGGCTTCCTAGCCTCTCCTTTTTTAGCTAAAGGAGAAGAAAATATTCACTAAAATACAAGCATTACCAAAAAGAAGGGGGAAAAAAAAAACAAAAAAAAAAAACTATCACACCAGCAAAACAAATAAAGTTATGAAACAAAACATGTTGAGTTGACAAGGATTATTTAGTGAGTCAGGATGCATGTGATTACTGTCAAATTTACTCAAAGTTCAATTATGGAAGAGGAAATATGAGCTTCAGAGCTGGTATATTACAGGGGAAGAAAGTTCAGCCCTTAGATTTGCTAGACTGTGGTGAATTGTGTAAATAAGCCTCTCTCTGAGAATAAAAGGTGGTTTTCCTGCTGGATTCTACTCTGTAATCAATTCACCCATAGAGACATACAAACCATTGGTGATGTCCGAATAAATTATGGCTGTGCTGTTCTTTCCATGGAGTATTATTTTTTAAATCATCATACTCTAAACATAGCAAAAACAGACTCTAGCTGAAAATGGCAATTTGTGTGACTCCTTTCAGACTCTATACCTGACAATGGAAAAATTGGCTGTGGCAATTTTATCACCATGAGACACATTTGTCCCAGCAAAGTAGCACGGCACCAACAGCAACCACAAAAATGATAAACTGAGTGGAGCAAGTTTAATGCTTGGAAATAAAATAATGAAGTCTGCAGACTGTACCAGCAAGTGTAAACTAACTGGGCAGCATGTCCATTCTATACAAAGGTACAGCATTGTGCATTGTGCATACAAAGGGAACTGGGTCAGCAGAGTTCAGTTAACCATCACAGTGGCCTGTTAAAGAATAAGAATAAAATGAACAAAAAAAAATATCCCCGTTTATCACTACATAACCAAACATGCAACAGAACTGGAAAAGAATCTGAATAAATTAATTATGACCACCCTACATCCCACTGAAGCTGCACAATACTGTTGAGCCGCATAACCATGAGCATATGTTCCCCTGAGATGACCGGACCTCATAATGCACACACACCAAAGGAGCGAATGAAACCAATTCGACAGCAGAATCTGAATTGCTAATTTTGCTGCATGTTAAAATGAGAACTCAGGAAAAGCAAGTTATTGATTATGAAAATCAATGAGGCCAATGGGACAGAGTTGAAGGCACACTGGAAACTGTATACTAAAGAAGGGGGTGTGAATTAAAAAAAAAGAAAAGAAAGAACTGTACTAATGTTAAGTTCAGGTTTTAGGTGTTATGTTTATTGGTGTAGTTTA